GCACGTCAGTGCCTTAACCATTGATACCGATTGCTTCACAGTTCCTGTGTAGAATACTGTACTTCTACTGGTTAGGATTACTTACCATTTTTCAGTGATGCCTGATATTAGAGCTATATGATTATAGGGAGGTCTGTGTTTTCTCTTTAGTCACATCATCTGACTAATGCCTAGTTCAGAGACTTTTGTATAAATGACTTAGTGCTTGCAGAAATGGAATACAGTTCCAGAGTGTTCAGCAGTTCAGTGTCATTTGGTTTTCTGTAGTATGTCTGAATCCTTTGTGTTCATGAGGCCTTCCAGACTTACATATTCACACTCATGTGCCTGCTGACTTGTCAAACTTACTAAGGTGATCTCAGGTAATTCTAGTAGTAAGTTCTTTCCAGCTTGCTTGTTCACCATACGCTTTTTGTTTTAATAACTTTTTTTAATCCACCTTAGTTCTTCTGACAATCTCCATTTTTGTTATGTGAACTCTTCCACTTGGTGTTTGAAAGCCCATGTGCTGGGAAACTAATTGCATAGGACTACACAGAGTAATCATATAGGGTCACATACTACGAGTTATGAAAGTGGCAAAAGTTTGTTAATGTCGAAGTCCGAGTCGACTTTTTTTTATGTGACTCTAAAGGTTTCTGCAAGTCTAAAGGTTTGAGTTTATCTTGTCACAGAAGCGTTGTACTTCCTTGCAGTGGGGCACAAGGAGATACTTTTTTGTCTCACAAAAGCATGACCTTCTGCCGTTCTGCCTGTAACTCCAGGTTGCCACAGCCTCCACTGGAATAGTCAGTGATCGAATTGACAGAAGCCTTTAGTGGAGATAGGTTACCTGGCAAAGCAGGTGTTGAGTGAGGAGAGCTTTTATTAAGCTGGAACAAAATTGTCCTGTTACAGTTGCTCTGGTAGTAGGAACACTTTCTTGTGATACTGAGCTGATATTCTGGTTTTGTATATAATAAGCTGTAGACAAAATGACGTGCCATTATGCTAATGGTGACAATGCCTATACTGCCTTCATGGTTTCAGAATGCATGGGATTTGGGGTTTGTTTACCAGTGATTAAGAGCTGTACAGTCACTCAGTAATTTAGTTCATCTTGATGTGAATTTGGGATTTTTTTCATGTGAATCTTTGAATCCTTTTCTTATATTCATCACGTGACCAGCACGGACAGCTTTGATAATTGTGCTGGTTTTGTTACCTTGTTGTTGTAATTACAAGTACCAATGTAATATTGTATAAGTGGTACAGTAGTCTGAAACTGGGCCTATAATTTCATGGCCTGTATCTGAATTCTGTTAGCCCTTTGCCCACCTCTCTTTGCTAGTTGACCTACCTCAACTTGACCCTTTCAAAGGAAGATACACTAGATGTGAAGAGAATATTATAATAACAAAACAAAATGTTTTCTTAGTTTAAAAAAAAAAACAACAAACAAATCAAGCTATTAACAAACATTTTCTCAAACATTTCTTTTGTCATTGACATTGCTTAGGAAATACATGGTTGCTGAAATAGGCATCATACAAATTTTTGAAAGATGCAGCTCTGAAAACAGAAAAGGATTTTAAGTTTGCATAGACCTGACTACAGTATTTGCTACTAAGTGCTAGATCTGCATCAGTACTTCACTTGCTTGTCTCAAGGTTAGTCAAGGGAATTAAAAAAACACCCCACATGAGTTCAAGTAAATATTCACTTTTCATGTGATCTGGCATCATACCTGCTTTACTGTATGGGATTTGGAAACGGAATACTTTCAAACTACTGTGTCATGTGACTTAGTTGTTCAGCATAGAGCTACAAATACTGAAATTCAAGATGTTACAACATTTCAGCTGTGTGCGTGTACTGGGGCAATATATCAGGCTGCTAAACCACATGATTCGGAAACTTGTTGACGTGGTGAGTCTTGGTCTTTCAAATTAGACAAGTCACTGAAGTCAAAGTAAGGTCACTGTGTTCAATCTTTAAACATGCTTTGACGGAAAGCTTCATAACGGGTATTTACTGTATTCTAACTGATCTGTAGTAATTTGATCTGTAGCTTTAAACAGATGAGGCAGGGGAAAGTGACGCTTATGTTCATGCATGTGTGAGCTTGGGCACGCCTTACAGCTTGAATATGGACTAGGTTCTTAACAGCTGTATCAGATGTTACAGTGTCACGCTGCCAGTTCAAGGGTAGATCTTGTCTCTTCATAATAATATTGTCCTATTAATGTTTTGTGTAGTCTTCCATAAGATCTACTGCTGTTCTTCAGGAAAGCTGATAATAATCCGTACTTTGTGTGGATTTTTGGCATAAGTAGGTATAAATGGACCTGTGCTACAGAATCAAAAATCTCTTATTTAGGAAATATGTTCTAATGGGACATACAGCACTGTGGGAATGAATTGGAGAAATAATGAGTTTTCCTAGTTGAGTAATTTAGCTTTTGTTTTTGAAATAATACGTTGTACGTAACTATATGCAGAGTCATTACCCACACGAAGTGAACTGTCAAGCAGTTAAATCTCTTGCTCCCACTTTCCACTCCCCTCTAAAACTCTCCCTACTTAATGTGTTGCTGCTGTTGCTTCCTCAAATTTAGTATGAGAGAGAGTACTTCCAAGCGTGCTTAAAAAAAAGTCCATGGAGCTCTAACAGACATGTGGGACGCTTGTGTTCTGAGATGCTAGTGTCATCTAATAGTTGTCCAGGGCTTTGTATGGATCATTCCTTCGTATTAGTTCACCCCAAGTTTCATTGCTGATGCAGTATTAGAACTTCTGAAGATTTCTTTTTGAGACACTAGGGTTTTTTTTAGGGTTGTGCTCAGTTTGTTGCCATATTGTTTTGCATTTTAGCCCAGCAGTGTTAAAACTTGCATGCCAAAGTGCTCTGAATTTGTGCTCACCAAAATGTGTGCTTATATGCCATCTTACATTGCTTATGCAAATATGGGAGTAAGGAGTACTTGCCAAGCTCTTGTGTATCATAATATCCAAGGTTTCCTAAGAAGAGCCAAGACTTCTAAGATTTTTACTCAGAGCTGCCAGTAGTAGCAGCTACTAGACTTTGAGTGGACATGATGTAGCCTTACTTCTTAATCCCATTTTCCCTGGAAATGTTCCAAGGGAAATGAAAACTTACTTACAGTGTTAGCAAAGTAAATAAAGCACAAGTTACTCCAGTACCCTAGCAGAAGTTTCAGTTGCCAGTAATGAAATGAATAGATGCGGCAGTCTTCTGTGAGGAATTACAGGCAGGTAAACATGCAAATGAAATGTTAAGAATGTTAAGACACATTCTTTGTCTTGCAGAGTTGATTCTGCTTTCCACCAGCGCAAAATGGTCAGGAGATTAAAATTTTCTTGTGCATATGTAGAAGTAGGCCAAATGAAGGTTGTGCAATCAACCTGAATTACTGCACTTACTAAGCAGAGAGTTCCCTATAGAGGAACCAAATGCTTTTTAAAATGTAGCTCCCAGGGTAGGCATCCTTTTCATCAGCTTCACTTTTTCTGTGATGCTGTAACTAATTTTCCTTAGCTCAGTTGAAGACTGATCTTTGATCCTTTTCCCTTATACTGCAGTCTCTTGGGCACTGAACCATTCCTGTACGGAACAATTACACTCAGCATCTGAACTGGACTTCAATTTCTTGAAGAAAATCATATTTTATCTAGATCTTGATTTACTCCTTAGAATGCTTCAATTCAGCTCACTACTCTTTAGACTTTTTCACAACAAACCTAAATTTCATGTGACAAAATAACTAGGCAGGTCCCTTGGTCCAATTTTGATTACTCTAGATGACTATAATGTTTCATTTTCAACTGTGACCTATGGAGTTGTTTGTAGAGCAGTGTTGAAACTACTCAGCCGTTTGCATAGGTGACTTTGATAGGAACCAAGAAGTAGATTTATAGGCATAGTCAGTAATTCTTGAACTGAAGCTGGTTTGTAGTTGATTAAGAACTTTTCTGAACAGTGTCTCATTTTGACTCTTTCTCCACTCTGCATTGCATTTTTAAAATACTCTTCTTGCTTGCTCTTGCAGTTGAAACTAGCTTCTGATCACTCCTTAAAAAGGTCTAGCTAGGCAGGCCTTTTCAAAATGCTTATGTTTCATGGCTCAGTGTCAGGTTGCAGTGTGAGTATTAACCTTTTCATAAATTACAGACTTTATCAAATAATACCATCAGCATGCTTTCCTGGTTGAGTCACTTTTAAGTTTGTGGGGTTTTCTGAACATCACAGTACATTTAGTGAATTTTTAGAAGGCAAAAATAATGATAAATAGTACTTGCAGTATTGGTATGATCATTAACATGTTGGAGGAAAACTGTTTTGTTGACATTTAATTTGAATGACTGCTTTCAAAATGCCTATTTTCTGCATCCCCTCTTCATGTAGGGAATGAATAAAGGTCCTAGACTGACCTGTAAAACAATGAGTATGATCTACAGCTCATATATAACTTTTATCAAATTTATAACAATGCATTACAAAGTGCATGGTTTCTACTAGAATCCTGGCAGTGGGAAGGTACAGGCCAGTAGTTCCTGAAACAAATCCAAATACAGAATATTTTCTCTGAGGTTCTGAAAACATTTTACTTTACTACCCTGACTGAGCTTGGGATCCTGTGAGTACCATGGAATTTGTCGGCTTTATCAGTGGTAACTATTTTCCAGACAACTATGCATTAGTCTCCTGGAGTCATTGCCTAAAGTGGAAATAAAATGTTTATACAGATCTTTAAGCCCCAGCTACTACTGTGTTTGAGCTGAATCTTTTTTTTTTTTTAAATAATTTGGTTTTTTATCTGCATGCTTTTATTATGGGGTATATTCTTGGTGTATCTTGTCTGCACCACTGTTGTTGGAAACTTCAAGAGCTGGTCAGTGCCTTATCCATTCACTGCTGTGCCCTTGCAGCCAAGAGGGCTAATGGTATCCTGGGCTGCATTAGGATTCCTGCTAATGCTGAGTAATTTTCTTTGTTGCAGGTGGTATGGTCAAGAAAAGGACTACAATGTTCTAGTTATGGATCTTCTTGGTCCCAGCCTCGAAGACCTATTCAACTTCTGTTCTCGCAGGTTTACGATGAAAACAGTACTTATGTTAGCAGACCAGGTACGTACAAATCTTGCTGAGAGGAACTTAGAAACCCTAAAGTATTTTGTGCAAGGTGGTTCTTTTTAAGTGGGTTAAATAATGTGTTATGCAGTGTTGCATACAGCAGAGTGAACACTGTGACCTGTATGGGAACGAAGTAATGGTGGCTTCCTTGTATTGTGGCATACAAAATGAATGTAGGCCTGTAGTGGGAGGGCAGTGCAGATACCAACTCCTTGATGCTCAGATCTAACAAGTGCAACTTTAATAAAGTATCAAGACTAATATGGGTGGATTAACTCCCAATAGCAGCCACGGGGATGGCGTTAGAAGATCTGAAGCAGTCTCCCGTTATGGTGGTTCTGATTAAATGGAAACCTGTTATGTGTTGGCTAGCTGTGGTGACAGGTGGGCAATGTGCAAGTCTATGGGTCTGTTCTTATTGAATGTCACTATGCACTCACAAGCTCCTGTAACTTCTGGTACCAGACCATGAGCTAATAAATACTGTTTTGGTGGTTGTGGTGCTTAAAGACACTTCTTAAAGCTGTTAGTGGAGATGCTACTCTGCCCCAAACTTAATCAAGACCTGTGAAGCTGAGGTCTGTTACGTCTTTTTCTAGCAATTGATATTTTTTCTAACTTGGTCATGAGTTCAGCATTTGAAATGGCCAGCCATGTTTATTTCTTGCTATTTAATAAATAGCTTGATTGTGCTGTCTTTAGCTACGTGAAAGGCAGTAAGGGTTTCTTGAGTTGAATTTTCAATGGTAGTTTAAATTTCATCTAATACTATGTAATTGATGTTAGTACCAAGTTGTCACTTAGCCAGATGCTCGCAGAATCCCAGGCTCTTGGCCAAGGAAGCTCATTGCATTTGTATGGAGACAAGGTCAGCTGTCCCTATTCTCAGCTGCTGTGAGTGAGTGGTATGCTTGCTTTAGAAAGCCATTTGCCTGCTCAGTTAGCTGGAGTCTGGGTGTTACAGCATCTCCAGGGAATCTGTATGGTTTTTGTGCAGTATTCCTTTGGATGATAAACACTAATTAGTTTTCATCTGGGAAACATAGACGAGGTGTATGATATCAGTGCACAGAACTGGCTTTTACGGCATAGTCCAGTAGAACAGCTGTCAAGGCTGTGATGTTGTAACAATTCAACTCACTAAAGACTGCATGAAGAGCGTTTTAGTAGCTGGAAAGCTGTACCGCATAAATGCATGTGCTGTGATCTCATGCACAGGAAATCGCACGACTGTATATGGTGATACAGATGTGCCAGAGTTTCTCTGCGTCTTCTTTGCTGTTATTCCTGGATCACGGTAGCCTAGATATGACAGTATGGGCCACAATCAAGTTGTTACTTGCTCCGTGAAAACTGTTACCTGGAAGAGTGATGCTTGATGATGAATGAATAACCAGATGAATGAATAACTGGGACAGGGGGAGGGAATGAGCTTTAAAAATTGTCTTGTAGGTATAGAAAACCTTTGAGCGAAGTAAGAAAAACACATTACTCTTTAGCGGGACACTATAGTTAAAACATGAACTTGAATGTCTGGAAAATAGTTTCAGGTATTTAATCTGCCATTTCCTGACCAAGATTATGGAATTTTAACATACAAAAAAGAAAAATTTATTTGAACAGCATAAAAAAAAGACTTGGTTTTCATTAAGCAAATATGTAAAGTTGCAGAGGAAGATAACACTAGAAATTCATGCTTTCATTGAAGGTTTAAGTGAATTGTATTGCTCTCGTTGAAATCTTACCTGTTTTATTGTTGCTGTTTTTTTACAGATGATCAGTAGAATTGAATATGTGCACACAAAGAATTTTATACACAGAGACATTAAACCAGATAACTTCCTAATGGGTATTGGGCGTCACTGTAATAAGGTTAGTCTAATGCTCTTTGTCTAAAAGATCCAAAGGGAATGGCTATGTTACTTGATTCAAGCTGCACAACCTTTTTAAAACTCATTGCTAAAACTGATGTTTTGGATGCTAAGCCATGGTTCTTTGATGTGAGAACTTGGATTTCTCAGTGTCCACTTCTAAATGCAGTGGCATACACATGTGGGTCTCTGACCGACCCTGTGAGATGCACTTTATTGCAAGATGATTTCTAGGCTTGCAACAAGATTATAAACTAACCCTAGAGAATACTTAGCTATTTTTCTCAGTGATGGAGTTTTTCATTATCGTGATGACTGTTGTAATAGCATTTTTTCCTCAATAATAAAATCAAATCTTATCTTTGGCTTTGGGGTTGACTTCCTGGGATGAAAAGAATTTGTGCCAACATGGGAGTTCCTGACCTACCAGTCATCAGGGCATTAAATCTTGCGGTGACAGACTGGTAAAGAGAACTCATCAGAGTTGTGGACACGACTAATAGCCAAAATGTGGATCAATTGCCTCTATAAATAAATGAAATTATGCAAATATGTTGATGGAAAACTGTTAAGTTGTAGAATACCTGAATATGTTGTACAACAAAAAACTGCTCTCAATTTACTGTGTGGGGAAAAAAAAGCAGGGCTGGGGGGGCGGGCTGAGGTTGTTGCATTTGTTTGGATGGGTAAATGTAGTCAGAAGTGCATGTTTCCTGTTGAAAATCTTACATAGAAGAAAACTTTTTTATTTTATTTTTAGTTCTCTTGAGTGAAATATGCTTAATCCTGCAATTTGTATGTCGAGCTCGGGCAGACAGGCAGCATTGGCAATGCATTAAGCATGCTACTTAATAGAAATTAACTTCAGGACAAATGTATGTGATCAAGCTGTTTATTGGAAGCAAGATTCCCACTTATCTTCTCTATATGCCACCCGAGAATGTCTCATCTCTTTAGGCACTACCAGTATTTAAAATGTTTACCTTTGTTTGCCTGTATGAATGCCAACTTCAGGGCCATGAACCTTAGAAGGGGAAAGCTTGATTAACATGAGATAACAGCTCTTGTCTGAAGAGGTGCAGTGCACTGAATGTTTAGATACAACCATTGTTGGAAAAACTTGTAAGTCCAGCTGAAAGGCAGTTTTTATGTAATCCTGTTGCTGTTAAACTTTGCTTGTTCCCAAGTTTCATACTTTCACTCTGTAGAGCTCTATTTTTCTTTGCTGTGTCGAGCAGTTAGGCTCCTTAATTTTCTGGCATGACTTAGAGTATAACTTGAAAACTTTAATTTTTTTTTTTTTCCTAGTTTTAGTTTCTGATTTCCAATTGTTCTTTTTGGGCCATTTTTCTATACTTTTGCACAGTCATGCTAGGTTGGCATTGCTGCACTCTGTTTCATCTTGATGTGGATTAATGGCCTAGAAATTGCTGCTGTGCTTACTTTAGTGGAGGAAGACATTAGATTTGCATAAGTTGAAATGAAAACTAAAATTGCCTGTAAACCATGATTATTTTTTTTCTTTCCCCCCCCATTAGTAGACTAGTTAGGGAGCCAGCAATGATATGGTGGTAAACACTGTGGGTGTGGGCTTCGTTACTGTTGCAGGGTGTTAGAGATTAGGGAGGTAGTTCTTGTCAGAAGTGCAAATTGATAGGTTTATAGGAGCAAAAGGAGGAATGGGTTACTTCAGTTCAGAACCAAGTGCTTTATCTAGGGAACACTTGCCACCATACAGTATTTACTTTGTTTCTTTTTGTAACTAAGTGTAGTTCGGGATTTTTTGAGAGATGACTATGCACAGTTTAAAGAAAATCAGCCACAAAACTAGAATAGCATGGTAATCTTGTTCCAGTAGCTTCCTGTCAGTTATATTTTTTAAAAAAATTAAATTGATTTTTTTCAAATTTTAATTTGGTGATTGGGAGAAATTTTGCTCCCACCTTAAAAGATGAATTTTCAGCTCTGCTAGAAATAAGCCCTGCATGCTTATGAAAGTAAACTTTAAGGTGACTAAATGCCTTCTACCTCTTCCTTACTGAAGATTTACTTTTTCTAAATGTCTTTTGGGGGAAGGGCAGTTTGTGGAACCAAAGGATGCTTTTGTAAGCAAAACTTCAATTTCCTTTTTTAATAGAGCCAAATGTCACCATTGCTATCCCTGGTCAAGGCAGTGCCATTTTGGAGTGGCTCACAGATGAAATTTACCTTGTCATATCTTTCAAATTTTCTCCTTGGAAAAAAAAAAATTAAAAATAAAATACGAATATACATAGTTTTTTGAAAACTACAGTGCTTGGTGGAAGAAGGATGGCATTTGGCTACCCTGTTCTTTCTCGAACGCCTCGGTGTTGCCTGTCTGCGCCGGCCATTGTTGCAATGTAAGCAATACTGTTTGATGCACTGCCACCCTCTATTGTTTGTTCAGTGTTTAGAATCTCCAGTGGGGAAGAGGAAAAGAAGCATGACTGTTAGTACTTCTCAGGACCCATCTTTCTCAGGATTAAACCAGGTCTGAACTGTCTCCTATTCCAACCTCAACCCCAAATTCATGTGCTTTATTTTTGTTTTGGTTTTGGTTTTGGTTTTTTTTTCTTCTTTTTTTTTTTTTCTGGAGAATGTAGACCTTGCAAAAGCACCTCTTATGTTGGCATTATTCAGACATACTTGGCAAACATGTAACATTACTAAGATGTTTCCCTGCGGCGCTTGTTTAAATTGTGGAATTATTTCTAAACTTGATATTAAAAAGGACTAAATATACGTGCTTGGTTTCAGATGCGGAAGCAGGTTTTATTTTTGTCCTTTAAAACTCAAAGGCAATCTATTGAATGTGTTGAAGGTTAGACATGCCACCCTAGTGAAATAGCAGGGCTTCTGTGTAGGGCTGTCTGCTTGCCTTCCTGTAGGATTCCTGCAGTGTCTTTGAATGCACGTGGAGAAGTTCTGTTGTCGCCTCAGCCAGACTCCTTCCCTTGCAGTTTTTATTCAAAATCTTTCCAAATGTGTGATGAGGACTCTTCATATTTTCATCCATTGTGCTTGTAAAATGAAATTACTCTAACAAGCTGTGTCTTGGAGAAGTGTGAGCTTATCTTGTAGTGTTAAATGTAAAACTCTTGTAGTACTCTCTTTAAGAGAATATGAATTGGAGAGAAATGAAGACATATGCCAGTTCATAGCAGGACAGCTGGAAATTGCTCAATATGAATCATAGCTCAGGAGTTTGGCCATAGAATCAGTCCATAGCTTTCCACAATGATAGTCTTCATGTGTTAAATCCCAGGCAGCTAGCTGCTGTACGTAAGCTGACAGGCTTCTGTTGTCTCCTTCGGAAACTTTCTTATCAGTTGAGGCAGAGACTTTGATCTCCTTCTCTAGTTGCTCTTGGCAAAAATCTTGCCCTAATTCTCCAGTTTCCTGC